TAAATGAACACTGACAACGTTGAAAGACATTTGTGGCAACCCGGGTACGACTAGTATCGTCTTACGGCTGAATCCGGGCTTCCGTGATAGGCAAGGGGACTGACTGCACAAGCTGTTATACCAGATACCTAGATCATAATGCGAAGATGTACGTATCCTCATTCGTTTAGATAACCCTGCTGTCTGCTTGCAACGAAGTGGCTGTAAGCAGCGATACTAGGCGAACCATAGCATTAGTAGTCAGCTATAAGTAACTAACTTAACCGACTATGTTTTTCTTCCATCCCTTGTACGGTTTATAACTCTCAGTATATTAGTATAATAGTATGCCTTATTTATAACTTAGAACACACATGAACCTGGGCCCTGGTCAAGAACCTGCATCAGGTGCCAGCGCCCATTGTAGTCCTCTCAACTAGAACCGTATACCAACAGCCTTCCAAGAACTAAGTCTTGCGGAGCGATCACCTACTATCTAGTCTGATGTGCCCGGGGATTCATTTCGCTCCGACTTCCCTCTACCCCTGCCGATTTGGTGCGATACTAGTGTATTGTAAATCCCTGGGGCAATACGGTAGGTTAGCAGCTCGCAGCTGTTGGCTAGGCGAGGGGTTGCGAAGATAAAGCTGCGCCCCCCTGTATTCTACTAGTGGTGTACGGAGTACTGTAGTAGGAATATGCTGCGCCTAGTGTAGAGGTCGGCACGGGAATCATAGTCCCCTGCTCTACCAAATCACGATAGACAGACGTGTACACGGCTATTACCAGTATGTTGAGCAAAAGTAGTTAGACTTGATGTTCACCGAAGAAAGTGGAGTGCTTGGTAAATGAAGAAACAAACCACCCAACCTATACTGGACACAACTATACCTACGAATGTACTCGAGTCTACGATTTCAAGCTAGGTATCACAACCACCTCTGTTTGGTTAGAACGCAAGACTTCGGTAAGGGCTTTGCGTAGACGTCAGAACTTGCTCCGTAGTCCTGACGCACGTCAAGAATATGATACCGGTATTGTAGACTTCCCTTGCTTGAACAGCAGTATCTAGTTGGCGAGGTATGTTAAGGAAGATTAAGAAAGATACATCTACTTGGCAAACCATCAGAACATCCACTTGCAGGTATACATGAAAGCTGGCTGGAAGAAGGATACCCTCCCTACCACTGACTAGAACAAGTGGTTGATCTGGCAAATGGGTGCAAGGGCAAGGATGACTACCTAGCCGCTTCGAAAGCAACCTGCGAGCTGGGCTGAACTGGAGCTACTGTTGGACTTCGTGCTGCCGAACCGCGAGCAACACGGCTCGATCCTTGAGCCGAGACAAACCTTTTTTGCACATTCGTTTATCAAGCAGGCACAATGATGGCCTGACAGACCCATCCCTTGATAACCCTATCTTAGGATCGAGACTGGATGCAACTTAGATTGGTTAATCAGCGATTCTTCTTGGTACAAGGTTCTGTCACATACTCATATCCACGACCCGTTGCATCTCGTAACCCCAGTCCATCCTTCACCCAACCCAGGATTAGCCTGCGCGCGATACCTTGTCGGAAACTTACATTCGGCACGCCCCTACCCAGATCCTGGTGTCCCACCCCCAATTACCTTAACATAGGTACATAGTACATGTTCTTCATATGCGCTACCTCCGAGCTCTGCTCCGAGTGAAGATGTATTAGACTCGATGGCATAAGCATGACATCTCTTAAGTTACGGTACCTTTACGCAGTATCTATGCGTGTGTGGGTGAGTGGGTGGGACCATGCGTATGTGCAGGGTACCGTACGTACATGACATCGTGCATTAACGAGTGAATGCGAACGAAAATGTCGGCTTAGAAGACTAGAGAGCACCCTAAAGACTGTATGTTACCTGATGGACGCGAGTGAGAAGGTCAAGATTTGGTGATTTGAGCATGATCCAAGGAATAGTAGCGGCATGAAGTACTGAGTCTACATAAAGCTTTGGACGGACCCGAGCCTATCAGAAGCCAACATCAGCTGTGATCTAGGCACTCTGCTTCCTTACATCGGCAACGGAGTCTGCACATGATGTATAGTACTTACTCCCTTGGCATGCTGTGTAGGCCACCTGCAAACTGGGATCCCTCCAACCCCTGTCCTGACCTCTCTCGCGGTGCTGACAGGCCTCGCACGACGGCGTGTGTGCACAAGCGCGGCCCCGGGTTAGGCACATTGGTATGCGCGGGGCAGAGGTGGCCATCTAGCCATCTAGCCATTAAACAATGTAACAAAAATCCGACGAGTCCAAGAGTTGGAACTGTCTTTGGTCTTTGGCACCGCAACCACCACCCTTACTGCAAAATGTTTGCACGCTTCGAAGCAAAATAAACTACTAGAGTATATAAAGTCGTCTAAGTCCCCGTCTAGCTATTCGTCTCTACACAGTCGTGTCTTTTCTGATTTGCTCAAACAACCTCAACAGTACCAAGCTGTACGTCACTACCCTCCAGAACGCACCGGTCCAGCACACACGAACTCCCAGCACCGCCTACCTTCTCTTCTTTCGCATGACCCGCCAGGTAGAATATCTCTACAACATTATCCAGTTATCATTGTTTTCTCGTCCCATTTGCACTGAGCCTATCTCCCCTTCTCTTCCGTGCTCATTGTTTTACTTGATCTTTGTATCCGGCCTCGACGCTCCGCAAATTTTATACTCGCCATTATGTCTGAGCCAAGGTCAGACGTCGCTACTCAAGGTAGCAATGGGTATGTATGCTACAAGTGCTAGCTCCCTTTATTCTTTGCAACTTGGCACACTAGGAGTATACGAGTAGCGGGCGATGGTTGTTTTCGTTTAGTATGTATTTCAAGACCTGACATGACGTCTAGAAAATCGAACCACAAAAAGCGGCGAGAGTCTGATATTCTGCGCGAGGAACGACTTCGGGCATACGTTGAAGACAGGACGTTTTCAGTCAGCGCTCGAGAGGCTGGGCTGGACAACACATCGCGGGCACGGTCGGGGTCGGAGGTGAGGCGGGAGTACCGCCCCCTATTCACATCGGTCGGAAGGCTAGGCAGTGATCAAAGTAGTGAGCGATTGATTTAGTCGACTTTCGTATGCTGGATGTATGAAGCTAACACGAAGATTAGGAACCAATGGCTCTTCCACTCCGGGAAGACCATAAGAGGTTGGCATCTAATGCCAATGAAGGTGGGCAGACGGTGCTACCACCTTCACAACTTACATGGCACATGGCTGCCAGGTATCTCGAGCATGCTTGTTTGATCGAGTTGTGATAACGACAGCACATTTCGCGCGCCTCCCAGCTCACTATTCTGCGGCGCCGACATCGGTGGCTCGGTTGGGTTCCATCGTCGAAACAAATCGGCGCTAACCCCAATCGGGATTCGGATGTGCAGGATTGAGGCATTGACAGGTCAATCAAGGAACAGTTGTCTTGGAATGGCTCTGGAGAAGGGATTATTGTATCCGGCATCATCGGTTTCTTCTTCAAGACGATTCTTCAGTGTCGTCTCTTTCTCTCGTTGCCTGTTGCTTTCATCTTTCCTCTTCTTCTGTCTTTCTGTTTTGGTTATATGGGAAACACGTGAGGTCATACGAGCGACGAGTGTTCCAGTCTGTTTTCTTCCGTTTTATTTACTTTGGTTCAAGTATGGAATGGCCATGTTCATTACAGGGTTGTCATGGTGGGTTAACATGATATTGATGTGATAATGGGAAAAGGAAAAGCATAATAGCGGTGTATCGAATGGGTGTGTTTGGGTTGTTTTTTTGGCTTTCATATTAGCATTTTAATGGGATACCTTACTCGTGATGGCATTTCAAGCGGGACTGCTGCTATCTCACACTCCAAAGTGCGGTATGTCATTCTCAGACATTTGCTGACAAGATTATAGCAAGGGTCAATTAACAAATAATGCTGGTGTTGGTTCGACTGATAAACCCGGTTGTACGATGACTTGGTTGAATGGGCTGGGCATAGGTTTCGACTTGACCATGCAGTTCTCCTTGATAAGAAACTCGGATTTTGACAATGGTTTGATGTTATCTGGGATCGATGGAGGCGTTCAACGAAAATGGAACCCCTTTATTACACGCAAAGGGGAGATACGTGAATAAGATACAAGGAAGCAGCCAAGGGCATTTGCTTCCGTGTTTCTCCGATGCCTAGACGTCTGATGATTATGAGAATCAAGAGAGAGAAAATAGATGAGGCTTATTCCAGAAATCTTAGGCTGACATATATGCAAAAGATGCGACGCGTTTGGTGGCGATGACACGAAGTCCAATTAAAGCCGCCCATACAAACCCCTCGCCCGGGCGCATTAACCTTTTCCCAGCCACTCACAAGCCTCGAGCCATGTATCACGTGCCACCCTTCTTAGCACACCTGGCCCCAATTATACCCGAACCTTAACGCATCGTCGGTTAACATGTCTCTCGGCTAAGCACAGCCCGCCAACAAGGGTAGTCCCGACACACGATTGTTCAGGGAATCGTTGCGGAGAGAGACGATATGACGTGTTCTGTTCTCTCGATCTATACCGCCGAGCAAGTGCCCAGCCATCCAGGAGAAATGCCTATTCACCAATGCCAATGATCACGAGAATTCTCTCCTCGTCATCCCTCCCTCCTCCCTGCAAGTCTTGCTCACGTCCCATGCTCCCCGCGAGATAGTTACATAGCTCGCATAATAGCTGCATCAATACTACTATTCATATTTCGTTCTGTCCATGGAGATCCAAGACTTCTCCAAATTTTGCTACTCCAAAACCGGAGACCACGACCGCATAGATTCAGGGGGAGACTATGCGGAGTAAACGGAGGAATCCCAACTACTTCGCACTTTGCTGCACCGAATAGCATGGATCGACACTTCCTGCCCACATGTACAAGGGCTGATTGACCCATTGTTTAAAGATTAGCCTAATTAATGCTGTCTTTCTAGAACCCATCTCTTGGGATGGCCGAGACTAGTCTTATTATATGCATGCCTGCCGTCCGACGATGAGGGGAATAGGGATGTATATACAGTCCTTATGTCTCGCCTCATGGTGACCCTAGTGGCTTACGGCTTCACCACTCGTGAACGAACATGCGTGGGACTTTATTTCTTACTCCGCTCTGCTTCGGCCTCGTCGCTGCGGAGGACGGTCTGGACGCTTGGCTGAGATACGCCCGGCTTCCAGACAACATTGTCCGCCAAGTTGAGATCCCAACTAGCATAGTTTCTCTCAACAGCACAGCGACAAGCCCTGTCTACGTCGCCGGCCAGGAACTCCATAATGGCATCAAGGGCATACTAGGGAGAAATCTCGATGTGGCTCACCAAATTCACAATAGTAAATCAATCGTTGTCGGAACGGTCAGTGCCTTCACGGCAACTGGTGGGAAGACGGACGCCCCGGCGCTCGAGGAGGACGGCTTTTGGCTGAACACCAAAGACAAGACTATTCAGATCTTGGGACAGAATGAACGAGGCGCACTATATGGTGTTTTCGAATACCTATCTATGCTCGCACAGGGAAACTTGACCAAGGTCGCCTATGCTACGAATCCTAGCGCATCGATCCGCTGGGTGAATCAATGGGACAACATGGACGGCACCATTGAGCGCGGATACGCGGGCTTGTCAATCTTCTTCAAGAACAACAAGATCGTCGCAAACACCACGCGAATCGCCGAGTACGCGCGCCTCCTTGCCTCCATCCGAGTCAATGGAGTAGTTGTGAACAACGTCAACGCGAACCCCATCCTCTTGAGTGAAGAGAACATGGCCGGGCTAGGGAGAATCGCTGACGCGATGCGGCCATGGGGCGTGCAAGTAGGAATCTCGCTGAACTTCGCCTCTCCGCAGACCTTGGGCGGACTGAAGACTTTCGACCCTCTCGATAAGTCCGTAGTCGCGTGGTGGCATGACCAGACGGACAAGCTATACAAGCATGTCCCTGACATGGTAGGGTATCTCGTGAAGGCCAACAGCGAAGGCCAGCCCGGCCCTCTCACTTACAACCGCACCCTCGCAGATGGCGCCAACCTCTTCGCGAAGGCCGTGAAACCGTACGGCGGTATCGTCATGTTTCGCGCGTTTGTGTACGATAGCCAAAACCTCAGAGAGGCAAACTGGAAAGACGATCGGGCTAATGCTGCCGTCGAGTTTTTCGAGGGTCTCGATGAGAAATTTGATGATAATGTCGTCGTTCAGGTCAAGTATGGACCTATCGATTTCCAAGTCCGCGAGCCTGTTTCACCCCTCTTTGCGCACCTACAGCAGACGGCCTCAGCCATCGAGCTACAGATTACGCAGGAATATCTAGGACAGCAGTGCCACCTCGTTTACCTCCCACCTATGTGGAAGACGATCCTGGATTTTGACCTGCGCGTTGACGGGGAGAAGTCTGTTGTTGGCGAGGACATCTTATCTGGAAAGCGCTTCAACAAGACGCTTTCGGGCTACGCTGCAGTTGTGAATGTAGGGCAGAACATGACGTGGCTCGGCACGCACCTGGCCATGTCAAATCTTTACGCATACGGACGGATAGCATGGGACCCGAAGACAGACGAAGTAGCAGTGCTCCAAGACTGGACACGTCTTACATATGGACTCGACAGAAAGGTGATAGACACTATCACGGAGATCTCACTGCAGTCATGGCCGGCGTACGAGAACTACACCGGCAACCTAGGCGTCCAGACCCTCACGGACATCACGTACAATCACTACGGCGCGAATCCGCAGTCGATGGACAACAACCCGTGGGGCCAGTGGACGCGAGCAGACAGCGACAGCATCGGCATGGACAGGACAGTGTGGAACGGAACGGGGTATTCAGGCCAGTACCCATCCGAAATCGCCGCGACCTACGAGAGCATCGCGACGACGCCCGACGACCTACTCCTCTGGTTCCACCACGTGCCGTACACACACGTCCTCAAGAGCGGCAAGACGGTCATCCAGCACTTCTACGACGCGCACTACGCCGGGGCCGAAGCAGCAGCTTCGTTCCCGTCGAAATGGGCGAGTCTAAAGGGTCTGATCGACGCGCAGCGGTACAAGGAGATGCTCTTCCGACTGGAATACCAAGCCGGCCACGCCATCGTCTGGCGGGACTCGATCGCGCAGTTCTACAACAACATCTCTGGTATCCCCGACGTCGCCAACCGAGTAGGGAATCACCCCTGGCGCGTCGAAGCAGAAGACATGACGCTGCGCAACTACAAGGTCACGGGCGTGAACCCCTTCCAAGCGGCCTCGGGGTACCGCATCGTGCAGACGACGGACAATTCGACCGCGGCATCCGTGCAGACGACGCTGGATTACCCTGCCGGTACATACGACCTCGCGGTCGCGTACTACGATTTATACGAGGGCGAGGCCGAGTACCAACTGTTCCTTAATGGCAAGAGTCTGGGCGCCTGGGTAGGTGATCTGGAGCACAAGTTAGGGTATACGCTTACGCGCGGCATCGACGCACATTCCGCGACGCGCGTGACTTTCAAAAACGTGCGCATTGAGAAGGGCGATGTCGTGCGTATCGAGACAGGTATGTTTGTTCCCTCTTCACCTTGGGAGTCACATTTATTCTTCTTCGCACTCTACCTGCTTTGTAGAAGGGCGTATTTTCTTCATGGAGCGGATACGGTGTCTTGCAGAGCGCCTCGTTTTCATATCATCTAGAAGAACACGTACTAACTCTAGTGAATCATAGTGCCTAATGGTCGGGAGACAGCACCGTTGGATTACATAGCCCTCCTACCGGCTGGAGTCATTGATTAGCGATGTGTATCTTTATTCGATGCCAGGCTAGTTGCTGGAACATACATAGATGAAGAGACCTATGTATAACTCATATCTTGCTGTCTTTCGTAATCTGCATGTCGAAATGGTAGTAAGCGCGCCACCAGAACGGTTTCCTCTGGGATAAGACCCCGGCAGCTTATTTCCAATTTAAAATTCAAAAGGCCAAAGGATAGAAAAATGTTCTAGTCTGCTATGCATGCTATCATCGATGATTAAATATGCTACCTAAGCTTACCCCTAAGCTTATCCCGTGGATGCATGCCGGACTGCTCAACAACCAATGCAGCTACCATATTCCAAAGCCAATAACATCATGCAACCCAACCAATGCGGTGTATGATTCCCGTTTAGCAATATATGCGAGAAATATTTTCTTTGTCGTTATCGATGGGCATATACAGTTCCACGAGCTGCCAAAACCCGTGTGGCGGCTCGTTAGGTGCCCTTCTATATTCTTCCCTTCGGAATATTCCAAGCCCAGAAGAGTATCGTCGTAGCCAAGTCTCCAAGCTTGAAAGTTATTCAATTTTAATAACACCGCCATCGGTGATTAACCGGCGTTTCTTGGCGGCAAGTTCTATATAAATCGACTGAGATCGTTTGCGATGTATCTCGCCGTCCGATACATCAGTAGATTCGCTAGTAGCTGGGGTGAACGTTCCCAGTGAACATGGCGTAGACATCGTCAAGACTTCTTCGGAACTATCCGTGTACGTCATGTCCAAGGTCGTAAGGGTCTGAGGCTGCATGTTTGCACCAAGGTCCTCATCCAGCAGCGTTCCTATCCAGGCTTCCCTTATTGCCAAGCCTAAAACTAGCGCAACATGTCTAGATACGCTGTTCCCAATGACTTTATATTGATCGGCACGGTTGCCAACGATTACTTCATGGTCTAGGAACCCTTGAGCGCGACGGGCCTCCATAATCGTCATTGGTCGGTTTTGCTCCCAGTGGTTGATTCGCCCAATTCGTGCGTCGGTCGGCGCGCACGTGGTAGAAAGAGTACCAACAAGCCCATTTGGGTCTACTCTTCCCCATCCTTTCGAATAGATCTTAGTTCTTTCCTTGCCCTCTTCTGGAAATAAGAGACGTTCTGTTGCCGTCATGACCCCATTCCCCTGTTTCCATGCCTCGACAAAATTCATCTTGTAAGGATGTGTTGGTATATACTGGAGCTGCAATCGCATCTGTGGTGTATAACCCATTGAAAGTCGATGATCGGGATATCCAACACAGTAATCTGCCTTGGCATCCTGCACATCTGGTAGGTCCCCTACAGCCTCTTTTATAGAGATAAATTTGAAGGGAGTAGGAACTGTTTTCCGGCTGTCGAATGGGCGACCACAGGACATTTCACCAAGCTTCTGGAGCTGGGTTTTTTCAGGATGAGAGTGTGACGCGTTTGGAGCCTTCGGCGTGCGAAGGCCCGGGGCTGTAAAAGTAAGAAATACTCTGCTCCTACTTTGAGCAGACCCGAACGACCACGCGTCAAGGAAGAAGACCTGTACTTGATACCCTAGTCCGACTAAGGCACATACCAATTGAGAAAAGACGCAAGAGTGCCGAAGAGAACTGGTATTGACCATAGTGGGGACATTTTCAAGGACGCCATAGAGGGGGCGGTAGAGTTCAACAAACGAGGCAAAGGAAGCAACTAGCGATTGATCTAGTCAAACACCCAAGTTAGCCAGTGTTCTGTATCCAAGAAAAATTCGCAAAAGATTCATAGTAGGTATAAGAGAAAGAGCACTGCAACAGATGAAGTAGAAAATGTCCGAGGAATGCCTACTCTTTCGCTGACGGTCCGTCGTCTTGTCGACCGTTAATAAGGAAAATCCAGGACACTATGGTTTGTCAAAATTAGCAACATTCTTTCAGCTAGAATAAACGGCGAGCTAAGGAACCCTCTCTGGTGCTCTTGAAACACATCCTTCCACACAAGACGGAGTCCTTGCCTCCACAAGGGGCTATTGCAAACGAGAAATGAAGTAGCTTACTGGGGACCCAGCAGATATAAACTCGACTTCTCCAGGTGCAGGCACCTTCGGATCACCGCTCAAGGCATGAGCCAGCAACTCATCGACAGAGCCTAGAAACGGTGCACAACGCTCATGGTCAGCATTTGCCATATACGAGTGAATTGCTCCTTCCCATAAGTCGTTGCACCAACGCATCTCCACGGCATCCCCATCCTCAATCCCACGACCAAAATTGCCACCACCACAAAAGAGATCTAGGCCTCGGAGTTTTGGCGTTTTGTTATGGCTAAAGCCTTGGCGGAATAATTCTGAATGCGTGTGACCCAAGGGGCGGTACTCTGTGACACCTTCTACCTGTACCTGTTTATGCGTGATAAAGAATGCGTCACCACTTCCGTTACGGTTATAAGGCGGCGGAATCTCTTCGTCTACTTCAAACGCCCTTACAATAAATCGTCGGTCAATCCTTTTTGTGTTTATATCAACAAAATGCTCCGAGTAAACTAGCTCATTTGGCGGCGCTGAGCGGGCATCTTTATCCACATCCTTTCGTCGCCATAACCGTCGCATCCGAGCATACTGAGGATCTTGGAGATAATATTCAATGACGAACGTCTCTAGCTGCATACTATTTGTCGCGACCAATACAGTATCGCCGACCACATATGACTGATGTGGTTCCTGTGAAAATGCAGTCTCATCGTCGCATACGAAGTGCTCCTTGCGAAGTGACATCCACCTGCAATCGCTTGCGACATAAGTCTGGCGCACGAAGAACTCTGCAGAAGTCGAAGGGCTACCAAACCACTCTACTTCATGAGTAGAAATGACTTCGTGTCCCTGGACCTTTGCTATTTGGTGGTGACATGTGCAGTTATCTGAAAGGAACAGCTCGTTTGACCAGGGATATTTCATCACTGAACAAGGTGTGTCGATCGGCTGGTAGAGCCATAGTACGTCAAACGATCGCTTTCCGTAAGGCTTTATGTGGACTTTCTGGACGAGACCAAACCAATGGTACTCTGTATCAGAGTGCTTCGACGACTCCCGTTTCCATTCCGTGTCTGTAGTGGCGTTGTTGTCAGGCAGCGTAGAAATAACATCGCCAGGCCTGATACTCTCAATGAGCTTAGTCTTATCTTTATAACTCTGTGCCGTACTACGAGGACCTCCAGGTTGAGTGAACGAAGGCTGAGATGACTGGGACTGTCGAACAAACTCGATCTTCTTGGCTTCAGCAGAAACGCACGCCTGCCTCGATTCCAGCATCCCGCCAAAGACCATGTGAGAGAATAGGTTATAAACATAAGGCGTGACAATCGTCTTCGATATCCCAGCTAGCTTGTGAGGACTAAAGTTCGGTTGGTAGTAATCAAGAGTCCTCACTTCCTTCCAGATATGATGCCAAGATGTAATTTCTGGATCGAGGCCATGAGCTTCTTCCCAGATATAATCGATGCTTGCAGAAACAGCCACTCGGAAGTCTATGTTGCGATTGCCAGCGTGCCATTTCGCGAACACCGTGGAGGATCCGTGCATCGACTTCAACCAGGTGCTGAACTTGGACTTAAAGTCGCTGAGGGTGACACGATGGTTGTGATCCCGGCAATGCTCGCAGTAGTCGATAACATGTTTCGAGAGGTCTACTATCCATAAGAATGGAAGATGGAATCTTCGATACTCCGGCGCAGGCACACCTAGCTTGTAGTATATCTTCCTGCCCAAAGCATCATTGAGCTTAGACAGAACCCAGATCTGGTCGCCAACAGTGTGGTTGGATTCACCATAGTTACCTACGGGTAACTTGGAGAATGGAACTCTGCGAAGGTAAAACCTAGTGTCCCCATGTCCCAAAATACCATCGAAATACATGCACTGAACGCTTCGGGAGATAAGGTGTTGAAGAGGGCGAAGCTCATTGTGGAAATAGCTGGTGTCAATGTATATGGAAAAGCAGGTCAAGTCAAACTCGATGTAGTCATCACTGCTGCCATCAGTGCTGTCCGTGTCCAGTAACTCGAGAAGGGAAGTGACGGCATGCCTCTCCTTCGCCTCTGGAGCTGGGGGCACAAAACCCTGGAAATGAGAGGCCGGTACAGTCAAGGTTGAGGAAGGTAGTGAAACAACCACATTCCCGTTTACTATGCCGTTGGAATTGGTGTCCACTGAGGTTTCCAGCTTGGAGATGGAGGGAGGTGACTGGGCCTCCATCTGGAGTTTCGCAAGTACGGAAACCACCAGAGAGAGCGCGGGTTCCAATGTGGGATTCTATTTTAACTAACTCGGCATGAGAAGAGATATCTGAGAAGATGGGGAGGGCCAAGCATACTATTTTAGGCGCATAGGGTGAGTGAAACAAAATTTCCAGCGGTTGTTAGAGTGAGTTCCTTGAAGAAAAGTTGTAGGCGGTAGGCTCCAATGCATCCATCCTATTCTTTTAGACTTGGGGCTGTGGCACATAGACACAACAACCAACGGCACAACACAAGTACTGGCAGATGTGTACCAAATCAACCTCACTTGGCTGAACGGCGGGAGACAACGCAGAGCGAGACGGACGTGTCGTTCTTAGTTGCCCGGATACGTGTGTGATGTGCCGTGTTAGCCCCCTCACCTACAGATATCCTCAGATATGTGCAAAAACGCACACGTCCCGTGTCCTTTCAGTTCCAAGGTTTCCAAAGACTATGGTATCGGGCTGGGAGGTTGCACGATAGCTCCTCTCCTCTGGGTAGCAGGCGAGTGAAGGTGAAGAGGGCGGCACCCGGGATACGGTACAGGGAAAACAGAAGACAGTGGACCCTTGCTACATCTGGGAATGGCGTTAAGACGCCAAAGGGAATTGGCCAATTGGCGGGCGTTAGTTTCGCGTCAGTGGGGTTCACTCAACGCCAATTTTCCATATATGGTAAGGGCAAGGGGCCTGCCTAAAGCAACCATTGGAACCCTCACGTGGCACATCTCTGCGCATGTAAAATGCAGGCCACCTAGGTTGGCCGCACATGCACACTACGTTGGCCGCACATCCACTCCATTTGAACTAAAGTAGCCACATTATACAAATAGCATATAATTTATACTGTAGGCCAAATTTTAGCAATATACTATAGCTTATAAATATATTATAGAATATTAATAATACCTTTATAAAGATAAGGCATTTTACTTTAAATATTATAATATTTATAATTATTAATAATTTATATTATAGTAAAGGTATTTTATAATTATATAAATAAATTTATTAAAGAAATATAATTAATATTAAATCTTTTATTTATTATTATTTAAAAATAAGGCTAAATTATTTAAAATATTAATAATGGCGTTATTGTTATTGTTATTATTATTATTATTATTATTAT